GAAGGAAAGAAGGAAAGAAAGAAAAAAGAAAGAAAGAGGGAGTGAGGGAGGGAGGGAGGAAGGGAAGGAAGGAAGGAAAGAAGGAAAGAAAGAAAAAAGAAAGAAAGAGGGAGTGAGGGAGGGAGGGAGGAAGGGAAGGAAGGAAGGAAAGAAGGAAAGAAAGAAAAAAGAAAGAAAGAGGGAGTGAGGGAGGGAGGGAGGAAGGGAAGGAAGGAAGGAAAGAAAGAAAGCCCAGTGGCCTGTTGAAAAAACACCTTTGGATATGCCTAACCTAACTTTAACTTTCTCTAACCGATGAAACTACTTCGATGGGCAGCAGAAATGTCTCAAACCAATAATAACAAAAAAAAAAAACAGTACGATGCCACCATTCAAATTTTAGACAAGCGACCAGGAGCTTTTCCCGAGACACGCTACGAAGCCCATGGGGCAGATTGGACTACAAGCCCCAAACTTTCCCAGTCCCTGGGTGGAAAACACCGGGAAATTTATGCCTGCGATTGCTTTCAGCAAAACATTCAATTTCTTGTCCTTGAGTCTTAAATTCAAAGCCTTGGTTTAAGTTTGGCGCTGGGGTCGGTGCAGAGACAGACAGACAGACAAGCCCAACTCTCAAGCTTCCTCCTTTATCTTCTAAGCAGCCCTGTGACCTGTGGGCCCTTTGCCAGCCGGGTGCAAAACACAGCTCAGCAACGGGGAGATTGCAATGCCAGAAGAACTGGAGATTGGCCAGCCAAGGCCAGATTGAGGTTTCCTATGGCGGAGAAGCAGCTGTAAAAGCAATTTAGGATTCCGAGGCTCCGGACACCAATGGAGGGGAAGATAACGCCAAGGCTGCATGCAGAGGCAATCTTGATAACGCCAAGGCTGCACGCAGAGACAAACCTTGCTAAGAAAACAGGGGAGAGAGAATGGTGCCTCCGGCACGGCATGCCAAGATCAACCACATCTTTTTTCTCCTCCAAAAAGCCAAGGAGCTGGAAGGGCATAACAGCTAATCCGAGACAAAGCAATAACACTAAGCATCTTAGTGGAATCAGTAAATTTGAAGGGGTGGAGGAAGAGACTGAGCCAGCCCAGAATCAGAACAGAGCTGGAAGGGACCTTGGAGGTCTTCTAGTCCAACCCCCTGTTCAAGCAGGAGATCCTATAGCCGTCATGGTGAACCTGTGGCAGGGGGAGCCATTTCTTCGGCTTCACCAGAGCCTGAAGCCAACTCCTTGTCCCGACCAAAACCCCTTTTACGAATTGACTATGAATTCTGCTCATTCACATCCAGCAAAGTCTTTCAAGGGAGGATTTACGGTCACAGACCTTATCTGGCTTGGAGAGCTGCCAGGCCGAGATCTGCAGAACTTGGCAAGGAGTCTTGGAGAGTCACGAACCAATGAAGCGAACTAATGGCCTCCTGCAAACTCCACTCCCCTGTCGCTCCTCTTTTATTCCCTCTGGGAGGGGCCATTCACCGTCCCCCTGTGGCCTTACTCCCAAGTCGACCCCTGTTCCCTTCGTCTGGCAACTCTGCGCATGTGTACACTGGGAACAGGGTCCAGCTGTTCTTCTGCCTTACTGTTGTCTGAAGGCAGCTGATAATTGTCAGATGTCCCTGGTCCTCTCTCCGCCTCCAACACAGAGCCCTGCTCAGAGCCTTCCCCAGACTCCAGGACTGGCCCAGGTTCCTCCCCAACCCTCCTCACTGTCTGAATCTGCCACCAGCTCTATTGGTCCCTGGAGGGCCACAACAGTTAAGCACGGCCTGAATGTAAATTTAGTGATGTGTTCTTTGCTCAGCTATGCTAGCCAAGTTCCAGAGGGTTTGAGGTCGTGAATAACTTCTCGGGAAGCGAGCTGCGGTACCCCAAAACTTTGGCCTCTTCATAACACCCGTCAATTAGAAAAGGGGCCTTCCTCGTTTGGGTCTCCCCAAAATTGACACCCCCTTTCCCCCTCCTTGGCATCCCAGTCAAATCGCACACAAGATTTACATAATTCCGGTTTTATTTCGCCTCTTGGTACAAAACAGCTCCAGCAATTGATTTAAAAAATAATCATCATCCACATACATTGAATCCTACCCATCGGCCGTCATCTGGTGCGGGAGAAGGAAACAGAGGGTGTAGCACTCCTCCCCCAAATATACATTTTTGTTTACGCCAAGAATTTCTTTTTATTTTGTAAGTGTTCCTTGGTGCCTCCCCTAACTAACCAAGTTTATGCCACAAAAGGGGAGGGGGAAGTTGGGGGAGGGAGGGTCTTCCTGCACCTCCTTAATAAACCACGGACGCTCCCGTCACCCTGACTTTGGCTTCCTGCAAAAATTAAACTCTTGTGTGTGCTGGGGAAATAAGGAAAAAGGAAAGCCGGATGGCTAACAAGAGGCTAAAAAAATAACAACCCCTAGACGTTAATATTTTCCACGTCGTTTTAGGGAGCATCACGGAGGGATGGAGCCAGAGGTTTCTGCCACTCCGAGCAACTCAGTTGTAACTTGGGGAAAGTTGCCCCCAACAAAACGAGAGGCCAGCCAAGTTTGTCGCCATTTTGGCTAAAGACGGGTGGGAGAAAAAATAATAATAATAAAGGAGGGATTTTTTTAGTGTCCTGGAAAACGGAGTGCTTTTTAAAAAGAGAAAAACCACAGCGCTGGAATGAGAGAGGACGGGCAGCTGAAACCGCTTGCAAAAAATCATATGCAAATATCGGAATGTTCGGCCAGCGCTCCTTCTGGTCCAGAACCAGGGGGGGCGGGTAGCGGCGGGGGAGGAAATCAGCATTTCTGGTCCATACAGCATATGGGGGATTTGGTCACACGAAACAAGACGGCGTGGCTAAAGCAGGAAAGGATTTCCTTTTAGCGGGCTGACTTTTGAGCAGCGGCCCGGAGGAGAGAAGCGTTCGCGCCTTGGATATGCCGTCTCTGCGAGCGGAAATGGGTCCCGCGGTGGGCCGCGCGGGGGAGCGGAAGGACAAACAGGCCCGCCAAGTCAAAATTCTTCCTGCGCAACGAGACAGAACGAGGCAGGGAGTTAGGGTCCCCCCCCCCCGCCTAACTCCGTCCGCTCAACTTAGAGCTCCCCCCCCCCAACCGGGGCGCCAAGGTGACGGTCACGTCTGGAGAACCTTGTTGCTGGGGTGAAGCTCCGGATGGGACTACAGCTCCCATCGCTTGGGCTTGGTTGTGACAAGAGCCGGTGGTGGGTTTTCGGAAGTCGCCAGAGAGGGGCCGAGAGGTAGTAGCATCTGAGAGAGAAGACCAACGGGTTCTCCGCTCACGGGTGGATCGAGGGTGGAATGTTAAGACTCGAGGGTGAAGGGCAATTAGACGCAGGGAAAGTGGGACACAGTCCCCCCTCCCTGGGAGAGGAATCAAGGAGCTTTTTGCCCTTCGTCCCACCGAGGAAGAGGAGGGCAGGGTCAGAGTTAAAGGGACGGCCTCCATTTATTCCTAGACTGAGCCAAACCCACACCTGTAATTTAGTGATCTATAGGTAGCCCACTTCCCTTTCCTATGTTTCTATACCTGTGTAATTCTGGCCAATCTAACTTTTTCCCCTGAAGCAAAGGGAGGGGGGCAAATCAGTGGTCCCCAGGCCTCGAGAATGTCTCCCCCTGCCAGAGCAGAGGACAGCAGAGACACTCCAACCAGGGGTGCCAAACTCATACAGGATTCCTTCCTTCGGCCATCGGAAGGCCTAATACTTACCCGCCTGCCTTCCGACAAATCGCTCTCCCCCCTCCTTACAAACCCAGCTGCCCTTTTCCTATCAAGAGAGTCTCACTGGGACAGTCTGGTCTTCAGTGGCCTGGGAGAAGGGAGAGGTGTGTGTGTGTGTGTGTGCGATATATCTAGAAAGTGCAATCCCCACCCCTACAGATAGGTGTCCTCGCTCTCCTGGGAACTAAGGCTCTCCTTGGACCGATGGAGAGGGGAAGAGTCGGGCTCCAGCAAAGATCCGTTTTCTTCGGGGAGAGGGCCGTTGGCTTGGTGGCCGGCGGTGACCGGGCCTTTGGGGGCGCCCTTCCGCGGCTTGCTCTTGCGGCCCTTGGGGGAGAGGGTGGCCCCGGGGGGCAGGATGATGGAAGGAGAGGGCTCCAGGGCTCCGTGGGGGTACGGCTCAGAGTCCCTGATGGCCTTGGCGCCGTGGAAGCGGGGAGGGCACTTGCATTGCAGCTCTCCGTGGGTCTCCTTCCACTTCTTCAGCTGGATCAGGTGTTCCCGCTCGATGTGGCGCTCCGTCACTGGCAACTCTATGACCTTGGAGGAACAAAAAAAGAGGTGGGCATCTAGGTGGTTTCCCCAAACATGTACAGATGCCGGAAGCACTGATGCCAGCATGTAAATAACTCATCCGCCCCAAGCTTCCCTCGGCCTCCCAAAACTTGTCCAGTTCCCTATGAAGAGCCAAGGTGGCGTAGTGGTTAGGGTGCAGTACTGCAGGCCACTTCAGCTGACTGTTATCTGCAGTTCAGCGGTTCTAATCTCACCGGCTCA